CTGCAGGGATTGGCATTTGCTCCCCATGTTCCCAGCTCAATTGCTTCTGCTGGGGTGTATCATCTTGCTGACTGAGCCTCCTCTCCTGCCTGCCCTCCTTGTGATCCTGCCCCATAAGTGAGGTGGTTGCTGGCTATGTTCCCTCAACACACTTACACAGCTGCATTTGCACAAACTTAAGCTTGGTTAGTTTTAACCCTGATTAGTTTTGTGTGTGTGTGTGCGTGTGTGTGTGTGGCTTAGGATTCACTGTAGTGTACAAACTCAGAAAGGAAGTTAGTTTGGTCCCCACATCAAGCACATTGTGTGAATATGGCCAGATTGGCCCTGTATTAAAGAGGAAGCTGGAGAAACATCTCCAAATGTGTGGATCATTTCCTTTCCCAAATCTCCTCCCCACTGCTGCACCCCAGATTCTCAGCTAAGAGTTTTCCTTTTACCCAGTCATGGTTGTACAAGGGTAGGAGGGTGTGAAAGAACCATCTCAAAGGCCCTTGGCCTGAACCCATCACTGCAGGGCCAGATTTGCACCCACAGCTTCTAACTCCAGATCGCTCCATGAGAAGACTTTGCTGGTGTCTCTATCGCTAAGCACAGAATCCACTTCTCTACATCCAAGTGAGAGCACAAAACCTTTTAGCAAGTGAACCGAGCCCCATCACGTCTCACAAACCCTTACATGAGGAAAAGGATACATGTGGGTTCAACTCTGCGTTGAATAAAGGAAGTCTCCTCTAAGTCCAGCTTGTGTCCTGGTGACTTCATGGACACAACTATGAAGTTTTCTCAGCAGCAAGACAGGAGTGGTTTGTCACTGACTTCTGAGGAGCTTTTTTCAACTCTGAAGTTTCATCCCGGCCCTAAGCAGGTCTGACTCTGCTAAGTTTCTGAGCTCAGAGTTCCACCAAATGCTGCCCCCAGTTGAGACTTTTGTATTAGTGTTCCTTATTATTATTTTTTAAAATAGCCAGATGCTTTTCATTGTTGCATTTTATTAGAATTTTTATTTCCTGGGGTTGGTTCAAATGCACGTATAATGCTTCGAGGTAGCTTCTGACATGGGCAGGAGCAGCAGCAGAAGATAAACAAATCTTCCATTCAAGACCTGACTCATCTGCAACCCCCTGCCTGAAAGCTCTGTCAAAATCCTAGCCCTACCCTGGACCTTGTCCTTGCGGGGCTCGCTTAGGGCTTGCAGGGAGACTCCTTCAACGGACAGCCCAAGGACTGGGCAGGGCTTGATGCCCCATGCACTATTCCAGGGGTATCCGCACAGGACAGCAGGTGTGGCATGGCATGGCAATCAAGGCCCTGCTCCTCGGTGCGTGTGTCTACGCACTGTACCCAGGGACACCCCAGACGCCACGTTGGCAGCACATGGGCCCTGTGTTTCCAGAGTTCCCTGAGAGAATTTTCTTTCTTGGCAAGTTTTATTTCCAAGGTTTCTCAAGTAGGTTCCCAGTCCTAAGAAGCATGAAAGGACCTGCCTTGGAAAAACACAGCCAAGGACTCAGAGCCTCTGAGTGCATGCAAAAGGCATTTCTCTGTTCCTTAGCCAGCATATGAGCCAAAGGATCTTAGACATGCGCAGAGCAGCTCAGTCTGAAAAAGCCCATGAGAAGCAGGAAACGCAACACAGCCTGAAATGTGTCTGCCGTCGGACACCCTGTTCAGATGACCTTCTGGCCCCTTAGTGGGAAGCCTTCCCCAGGCTCTGGGTTCAGTCCCCCCCCCCAGGAAATGCAGTGCTCGGCCCCACCCTGATGCTGACCTCTTAAACTTGGCTCTTTGCTTTGGGGAAGGGAGGTGCGGCATCCCCAGTGAGAAAGAGGCGCTCTTGCTAGCAGGAACAGGCAACTTGCGCAGTGCGCTTGCAGGCACCGGCTGGCCCAGATGAGCCTTGGGACTCTTCTTCTTCTTCTCCTCCATCGTTGGCGTCTCTCAGCTACCCCGCATGTCGGAAAGGCCTCCGAGGCACGGAAATGAGAGCTGCCTGAAAGCAAGCAAAATCATCGAGGGGGCGAAGTGAAAGCTACAGTCAAGCGATGGCTTTGGAATGCAGAGCCAGCCCTGCGTCGAATTCCATCCTTAAAGAAAATTTCAGAGGCACCAGAACAGAAGGACAATGAGGACTAGACCTGAAGAGGGAAGTCCACGCATGTTAATCTTGACTGGAGGGAACAGCAGGCTAAGTAAGCAGGCACTTACTTAACTTTAAGTAAGCAGGCACTTACTTAACTTTA